GTGTGCCGCATACTCCAGCCAGGCCAGGTGCGCCGCGTTCGGGACACGTGCAGAGTGTGCCAGGTGCGCCTGCGCACGTGACAGCACACATCGGGAAACATGCCGGCCCCCACCATCCTTGTCGACAACCAAGGCCCATCATTGTGTCTGGTGGGCCTGCGCACAGCAGGCCATACGCCACCACCCCCGCCGTCCCTGTCAACAACCACTTGACAATGATCGCGGGGTGGCCGCGCATGATCCAGATTTAGCCGCGAGGTGCATTTTGTATTTCGTTTTGTCAGGGATGGTAGCTCTGCGCACAGCAGGCAATATGCTGACAACCCCGCCGTCCCTGTCAAAACACAATACAAAGCGCTCGCGGGCCTCACGAACATGACTCCAGACTTTGCCCCAAAGTGTACTGTATATTGTTTTGTGCCAGGGACGGTGGGGGGGGGGCCGCACCGGGTTGCTTGCGCATGCTCCGAATTTGGAGGCAGACTGCGTTTTGTATTTTTTTTGACCGGAATGGTTGGTGTGTGTGAGCATGGTTCCCGGTTGGCTGCCGGTCGCCTGGGGGAGGGGGTGTACATTAATGTGGAACATTGATAGACCCCTCCCCGAAGGGCGGGAGGGGGTGGTGAAGAGGAAGCGCTCTAAACCACTCACGCCCAGAGGGCTGGTGGGATTAGCACCCCCCCCAGGAGGCCAGAATGTGGACAACACCTTAGTAACGTCAAGGATGTGGGCCTTCTCGCCGTGGCCTCTTGGAGCGCCTTGGGTGCCTCTGGGGGGCCTCTTTGAGCCCCTTGGGGGCCTCTTGGGAGCCTCTTGGGGCCTCTTGGGGGCCTCTTGGGGGCCTCTTAGGGCCTCCTGGGCACCTCTTCGGGCCGGCTTTGAGGCACCCTTGGGTGCCTCGGAGGCCATCTTGAGGCCATCTATAGGGAGATCGTTCGAAGGAGGGGGCGTACTAGATTAGCGCGCCCCCCAGGGGGAGGGGGGCGAGGGGGAGGGGGCATGGGATGCCAAGACACCCTTCCCGACCGCAAGCTGTCTCGTTCACGCCCACCCGAGCTCCCAACACATCAGTAGCACCGGGGCCTCAGCATGTTCAGCGGTCGTCTTTGAATGGGCAGCTAATGGAAGCTAAAAGAGATCTCATGTGCGCGAGGCTGGGGCGAGGTGCGTCACGCGTCGCAGGTGCGCCACATGGGTCAGGTGCGCCAGGCACCCCTTGTGGCCCAAGCCTGCCAGGCACGCCTGGTGCGCCAGATGCGCCACGTGATCCACTTGCGCCAGGTGTGCCACATGGTCCAGCCGCGCCAGGTGCGCCACGTTCGGGGCTCGCTTAGAGTGTGCCAGGTGCGCCTGCGCACGTGGCAGTACACATCGGGAAACGTGTCGGCCCCCACCACCCTTGTCGAAAACGAGTGCGCAATCGGGGCGGAGTGGCCATCATAGTGTCTGGTGGGCATGCACACAGCAGGCAATATGCCAGCACCCCCGCCGTCCCAGTCAAAAACCAATACACAGTGATCGCAGGGGGCCCGCGCATGATCCAGACTTTGCCTCGAAATGCGTTTGGCTCCCCCATAAGAGCTTGCCTCTGTAGGGGTCCTAGCGGATTCATATGGTTAGGTGAGGTTTGCCACCGATTTCCGCGGCCCGCCCGGGTGCCCGGGTGCCCGGGTGCTCAGGTGCCCGGGTGCCCGGGTGCCCGGATGCCTTATAGCCCTACAGCCCTATAGCCCTATAGCCCTATAGCCCTATCGCCCTATAGCCCTATAGCTTTATAGCCCTACAGCCCTAGAGCCCTGTGGCCCTATAGCCCTATAGCCCTATAGCCCTATAGCCCTATAGCCCAATAGCCCTACAGCCCCATAGTCCCATAGCCCAATGGCCCTATAGCCCTACAACCCTATACCCTCTATAGCCCTATAGCCCTATAGCCCCATAGCCCTATAGCCCTATAGCCCTATAGCCCCATAGCCCTATAGCCCTATAGCCCTGTAGCCCTGTAGCCCTGTAGCTCTATATGCCCATAGCTCTATAGCCCTATCGCTCCATAGTCCTATATCCCTTTAGCCCTATAGCCCTGTGGCCCGATAGCCCAATAGCCCCATAGCTCTATAGACTCATAGCCCTATGCCCCTATAGCCCTATAGCCCAATGACCCTATAGCCCCATAGCCCCATAGTCCTATAGCCCTACAGCCCTATAGCCCTATGGCCCTATGGCCCTATGGCCCTATAGCTCTATAGCCCCAGAGTCCTATAGCCCCATAGCCCTATATTTCCATAGCCCTGTAGCCCCATAGCCCCATCGCCCTATAGCCCTATTGCCCCATAGCCCTATAGCCGTAACCAGACTTTGATTTGGCTTTTCTCCAGTATCATACTTTTTCACAGGGGTGCCGGCCCTGCGCGCAGCAGGCAATATGCGGGCACTCCCGCCGCCCCTGTCACAAAGCATTGCAAAGTGCTCGCGGCCCCCTCGATCATGACCCCAGATTTTGCCCCAAAGTGGATTTAACATTGTTTTGACAGGAGTGGTGTGGGGGGTCCTCATTGGTCCTGGTGGGCTGCCGGTCGCCTGGGGGAGGGGGTGTCTATCAATAGGGGACAGTGATATAGCCGTCCCCGAAGGGGAGGAGGGAATATGGAAGAATAAGCTCACTAAACCACTCGCGCCCAGAGGGCTGGTAGGATTCGTGGAGGGGACGGCTTGGGATAGATGAGTGTTCGGGTGTCCAGCCGCATCAGAGTTCTGGGGGGGATATGCCCCCACTGCCAGACAGCGAGGACTTCGTGCTCCCTGCTAGCATTCTCGCCTCGCGTGAGGACGCGTAGCGCACCGCGTGATGTCGTGTCGCGAGTCCCCCAACTCCCGACGAGATCCGCGACCCTACTGATACGAGGAGCCAGCCTGGCACCACTTGTGGCTTGGGCGCGTTCGACACCACTGTGGCTTGGCATGGGAGCCACAAGTGGAAGTGTAGGCAGACCTGAGATAACAGCTTGTTTACCCTTGTCTCGCACAACCAAAACTGTCGCCTCCCATCCCGATCGTTGATCCACGCCGCGCGGGTGAAAGTGATTATCGGGCGGAGTGTTCTTCTTTGCCGACTTTCCAGCCTGCGATGCCCAGGATCTCTCCAAGGTGGGAGCACGCGCGCGCCGGGCACAACACTCGGCCTCGACGTCCCACATGACGTGAGAACAGTGGCAGGGCAAACCTGCCAGGCATACTCGCCCGACTGAGTCGGGCGCCTCTTCGGGGCGCTTGCGGCAGCGCTTGTCGCCCGACCCTGCTCGTCAAAAAGCGAAGAAGCGCATGGAATAAGCACGTTCCACCACAGTGGTCTGAGCAGCCTCGTTGCCAAAAGTCCCCCGTGCGTGTCTCGCCGTGTTGGTCGAGTCTTAGGGAGGACGGCGGCGGCAGAGGTCGCAGCGTTGGACGCATCGATCAGCTGGGCGAGGTCGAGCCTCTGAAACCTGCGTGGAGCAGAAGTGCTCGCGCCGTCGTGCGCCCGCCAGAGGTGTCGCGAGCTCCCCGGGGTGAGGTCAGCCATGTTCGCTGTCTTCAGTCTGCGTGACGGAGCACTATCTATCAATGAGAGTTGGCGCAGCGGCAGGGTCCAGAGCGACATCTCGTGCTTGCCCATGGTGGTGCCAATCTGCGACGGGGAAGGCACGGGCAACGTCGCCGTGGCAATGTGGCGCCAAACAGAACTGACGGAACGCCCTCGCATCACCTCGGCGAGAGTTCCAGGCAGCTTGCTTGCGGAGCAGGGTGCTCGCGCCTCTAACACCATCGCTCCGATTGAAGTTGCTGGGCAAGTGCAAGCTTCAGCCACATGACCAGACTTGGAGCGCGCAGGCTTTGGACCCAGTTCTTAGAGACTACAGAGGCCATGCGTGCACCGAACAGTGCCAACACAGGACTGAACAATGTGATGCACGCTGCGTGGGAGAGAGTCGAAAACGAAAACTCACCTCTGGGCCGAGAACACGCGCAACGACAGCAACCCGGTGAACAGGCCAGTCGCAGGTGCAGAGGCGACCTTTGCAGGTAATTCTGGATGTGTAATCCGCCCATCGATCTCTCCGGTGTGTTCCAGGTCGCCACGGAACTTTAATTTGGCCCTCCGCAGTGGCACTTGTAGAACTTGTCGTCACCTGTCAGTGAACCGAAGGCGAGAAGCAAGTCTGATCGTCCCTGCGTAGATTCCCTCGGAAGCGGAATGACGGAGGTGTGGGAATCGTGGGAGGTCACTCCGAGCAGACGCCCCCGTAAACTTCTAAGAGTGATGTGTGCCGCGTTGAGGCCAGAGCAACAGCTTGAAAAGACCAGCCCTCCACCAATGTGACAGCTGGAAAATTGTACGACGCATGTGCGCGGCGCTCAGGCGATAACCGCATTGTCGCAACTCTACATCTGGGATCGTACATGCTAAAGAAGTCACATGCGAAACATTTGGCCTGGTCTACGGACACGGCTGGAGGAGGAGGCGGAGGCGGAGGCGGAGGATGGAGGAGGAGGAGGCGGACCTTGGTTGTCGTCGTCGCTAAGCAGAGAAGACCATGCCAATGTGTGTTGAACTTCGTGTGTGTTCGTCGGGATCACGTTGGTCGGAAGCACGCCGCAGCGACCTGGAGACCAAGCGGCAAGTTTTTCTCGCGTTCCTCATGCCCCTTCTTCTGCCAATCATTCACCGACGTTCATTTTCCCGTCCGTTTCGTCGTGGTCGTTGTCCTCACGTTCCTCTCTCTCTCTCTCCCTACTTGTCCTGTTCCCCCGTTGTCCTCGTTCTTGTCCCCGTCGTTTTCCTCCTGGTCCTCCTGCTGCTGCACGTTCTGCTCCAGCCTTCGTCCTCCGTCCTCCTCTTTCTGCTCCTCCTCATGGTTCATATAGTTTTGCTGATGTTGCTGCTCATCCTCCGTCTTTCTCTCCTCATCTGTCCCATCCTCCTGTCCTAGCCCAGTTTTGATGTACGGTTAGTATCGTCCCATCGTCAGGGCTACGGCGTACCGATGGACATGGAGGGACTCGTCCTCGAGGATTGCCGCGCCACGGGGAGCAATAAGCCGGATAATGAGGATGAGGAGGAGCAACAGCAGCACGAGTTTGAGGAGGGGGAGGAGGGGGGGGAGTGGGAGGAGCAGCAGCAGCAGGAGGAGGAGGAGGAGGAGGAGGAGGACCGCCTGCGGGGAGCAAGAGGGCCGTAGCCTGAGGCAGTTTCTCCCCTGAAAGGGCTATGTTGTCGTGACATGTGGCGCCCTTGGCCTCCAGGTCCCGACGGTTGGACGCGTGGGGCATCTGGCATCCCACGGTGGAGAGAATCGGAGAAGAACAACAACGACATGGCCATACAATGTTGGAGCTCTGCGCGGATTTCCGAACGTTCATGGGGGTCCTGCTTGTCTTCTTGGGCCCTCGGTCAGCCTCTCCAATTGTCTGCGGGCCGTGCTCTCGGGCCCTTCAGTGCTCACCGATATCAGCCGCCTCCCTGGCAGAGCGAACCAGACGCAGCGCCACATGACTAGTTATGCTGCTTCATGTTCTTCTAGAGAAGGCGGAACATGTGACCGGATGTTCCCATCATTCCAGGGGCCGTGCCATGTGGCACGGAATCTTTGGAGGTTTCTCATGGGCCTCCTTGGAGCCAAGTGGCCCCTCTTGGGGTTCTAAATTGGGCTTCCCCGCGTGGAGCCCGAACTTTTGCTTCGTTAGACCTTGGCGGGACGCTTGGGGGGGCCTTCGGGGCCAACTTGGAGCGATTCTGTGCCCCTCTTCGGGCTCTCTCGAGCGGTCTTGGAGCCATTCTGAGGCGTCAGAAGCCCGTCGGACACGAACGAACATGCGATAGAGAGCATGATTTCAGCTCGACTGTACGTTTCTGGAGATGCTGGCCTCTCGGGTATCCCTGGGAGGCTCCGCGGCCACTTGGAGCAGTATTGGAGTATTGGAGGCGTGGTGGCCGCGCAGGAGCTCTTCTGCAGCCCTCTCGGACGGAGCCTGGGGTATCTTGGAGACGTCGGAGGGTGAATCTGGAGGCTCCGAGGGCCCACCCTCCTTACAACGAGATTTTGAGCCACTGGGGAGCGGGAGAGGGGGAAGGCTACAATCAACCATCTCACACGCCTTCGCACCCCCGGGCAAGCAATGGGGTGCCGGTGCATTTTTCCCTCCCCCTCCCCTGGGCTTCTGGCCAGGGCGTGAGAGACGTCGGAGGGCAGCTTGGTTGCGGATCATTTACCCGCGTCGTTACGGCCTGAAGCAGGAGCAGGAGGGGGGTGGGGGAGAAGGAGAAGGACCAGCAGGAGGTGGACGAGATTGAGGAGGGGGAGGAGGAGGAGAAGCATACTACAGTCGAGCATCTGATTAAGACCCCTCCCGAACTACTAGGCCAGCGTTTCTTAACCAACTTGCTGGGAAGCTGGCTCAGCTTCTTGAGCGCGTTCGCCGCTCCAGCGTCACCGGCAGACATTAGCCCAGGTTTGTTGTCAGAATCTTCCGAAAAGCTGGCCCCGATGGTTCTGGAATGAAAGTTGATTGAATCAAGTTTTCGGCCAGGCTCGTACTAACGAAGGAGAAGACAGCAGTAGGAGGCGCAGCTGGAGCAGGAGGATCAGAAGCAGAATCAGGAGCAGGAGCAGGAGCAGGAGCAAGATGACAAAGATGATGCTGACGAGGATGATGATTAGGAGGAGGAGGAGGAGGAGGAGGAGGAGGAGGAGGAGGAGGAGGAGGAGGAGGAGGAGGAGCAGACCCCCGGCCTGCCCAGGGCGGCGGCGGGCGAGAGGTGCACCTCGTGCAGGCCCGCCCCATCGTGGAGGGCTAGTGCGCCCGGTGCCGCTGGGGTCGTGCACGCGGGTACCTCGGCGAGAGCGCCGCTGCCGCCGACCAGCGCCGCAACAGTCAGGCCTTTGGCTAGCGCCACCACGGGCTGCCCAGGCGCCACACGAGCGACGAGCGAGAGCGGGGCGAGGAGGCCGCGCGCAGGCGCCCTCCTCTCCACTCGGTGTGCCGCTTCGGCGCCGCCGTGCAGGTTCGCTGTGCCATCGCGCGCAGTATTCCTTTCTGGCGCTTTGTTTTCGTGTGTTTTGGCCAGTGGCAGTGGAGGCTGGTTCAGGGCCCTGGAGCCGTCAAAAATTTGAGATCGGGAGGTCCAGTGGGCCCCTCTCATAACAAATCGAGCCGCTGGATGTCTGGGCAGCCTGGACAGTACCCTTGAGCCGCCTGGCCCATGCGCAATTTAGATTTCGGCCTCATGAGGAGGCCTTTACAGAGCTTAGGGTAGGCACAGGCTTGCAAGTCCAGTCTTGTGAGGCCAGTGAGGCTACGTTTCCCGAGCCCGTGAACGCACCGGACCTTCACGAGGCGTTCTGCGCGCGGGTGGAGAAAGCAGGCCGGTGCAGTGGCACGAAAGGGAGACAAAGAGAGAGAGAGAGAGAGAGAGAGAGAGCGAGCGAGCGAGAGAGCGAGGAAGACATGAACACAAGAGTGGCAGCATGGTAGCTCGCCCCAGCCCACCCCCACTGCCCCGACCACTGCCACGACCGCGACCACGTCTACAACATCCACGGCAGCAGACGACCCCCCCACACGTTTACTGACGACCAGCGGCGACAACAGCGACAGCGGCGGCAACGACGGCAGCGACTTCGACGACGCTGACGACAGCGACGGCGGCGGCGACGACGACGACAACGACCCCCCCTAAAATCTATCCCCGGACCTCTCCCGGGATGCGTGCCCCTCGAACCTCGAACCTCGAACCTCGACCGACGAGGATGCCGCTAGCGTCGACAGGCCAGCGCACCACAAGCAGCTTCCACATGGCCGCGGCCGCCGTCCGAACGGCGTGATCGTATGTGGCCGCCCGTTTGCTCCCGTCTCCCCATTTCCTTTCCTTCTCCTTCCTCCTCCTTGTTCTCTTCCTATTCCCCCTCCTGCTGCTCCTATTCCTCCTCCTTCTCCTGCTCCTCCTCCTCTCCGTAGCCATTTTGGCTCAAGGCCACAATTGTTTCCATTCCACTGTCTTCGCGGGGTAGGCTCCCACCAGGAACTCGTTTTCCCGAGCTGCCACACCAAGGGGCTTGCAGCAGCCCGCGTATTTTCCTGCTTCTCGCTCTGGCCTTGCAGGGGGCCCTTCGTATCTTCTACATTCTGCCGTCACGCGCTGGTTCCGCTCCGCTGCAGATGGCTGGCCCCCCGCGACGCGCACCATGCCCAGCTCAAATGACGAGAACCGCGGTACGAGCCGCTGCCAGCAGCGTCGCCGCCGTGGAGGCGCAGATCGCCGCTGCGCCGCCGCCGTTGCCGACACTCTCTCGCTCACTGCTACATCGGGCGCTGGTCGACAGCGCGCTGCCCGTCCCGGTCGACCACCCGCACGGCCCAGTTCAGCAGGACTTCCTGGTCCTCAAGCAGACCCTCTACATCAAGCCGACCCCTGGCAACAGCAGCGCGACGTCGAGCGGGACCTGGAAATGTTCCCCACCTTCGCATCGCAAGAAAGGGTGGGGCAGTGCTGTTCACACAATGTTTGCCCCCCTGCTTTCGACCCACGTGCTGCACAGGTCCCTGCAACTCTAGTTGCTGACGGCGCTCCCGTTCGACTACCTGGGCCCCCTGCCGACCTGGACCGAGCCCTTCAAGACCTCATGCAGCAGCTGGTATCGCATGCTGCCAACACCTTCAAGCAGCAGGCTGACCTTCTCCTGGACCAGTCGCGCGAGAGCTTCCGCCAGCCTCTGCAGCAACCACTTCTTCAGACCGAACAGTGAGTGGACAGCCTCCTGGGCCAGGCGGCGCACACCAAGCGAGAGCAAGACCGGCAAGCTGCTGAACAACGCAAGATGTGGACGCAGATCGACCAAATGCGCGACACGTTGGCCCTCGCCGCAGCGCAGCTTCCCATCACCGACCTCGCCAGGCTCGCCGACTGGGGCTTCACGCCAGACGCGACAATCTTCTCCATCGGTTCCCAGAGGCTCATCGCGCCCAACGCCGTCTTCAACGACCTGCAGGAGTGGCTCGCCGACGCTGGCCTCCAGTCCGACCATGTGGAACACAGTGACGGGCCTGCCAGACGTTTCATCCTCCAGGTCAAGGGCGTCAAGGAGGTGGCCATCCCGCGTGCTCTCGCTCTTCAGCGCGCTCTTCAAACGCTGCGGGCAAGTGGAAGCGCTTCCGCTCCGCCGACACGAACGGCCAGCGGGCCGACATTCACATCAACTCCGACATGTCGCCGAAGCAGACCCGCTCCGAGATCCAGCGCAGGAAGCTGCATAAGCTCCTCGCGCAGCAGTTGCCACGCCTGCAGTGGCGCGCGCTCCGCGCTAAGGGCGAGGTCCACAACGACGCCGTGCTGCTGGTGCGTCTCGACGTCAAGGGCCAGTCCGACCCCGCCATCCTCGAAGGGGCCGAGCGGGCGCTGGAGAACCCTACCTTCGACTGCCTCGACCGCCGAGCCGCTCGCGCCGCCTTCCAGGCCCTTTTCGCGGACACCGAGTCGGCCGCGTGGCGTTCCTGGCCACCCCTGGGTCCCGTAGCGCGAGGCCGACGCGTCGATCCCATCCACCTTCGTCAGCTGGAACGCCCGCGCGCTCATGCGCCCCAGGCGCTGCCGCCGCCGGCGCAGACAGGCTGCCCTCGCCAAGCTCATGCGTGACAAGCATGTGGTCTTGCTGCAAGAGGTCCATGGCTCAGAGATGCCCTTCTGCACTTGGCTCGACCCGCAGCCGTGCCCGTGCAAGCTCTTCTTCTCGGAGTTCCCCGCCGACGCCAGCCGGCAGCAGATCGCGACGGGCGGCGTCGCCATCCTGGCGCCGTGGTTCATGCCCATGCAGCTGAAACAACTTCGTCCGACAAGCTACCTGTCCTTGGACTCGTTCCACTGGTTCCTGGACCCATGCAGCAGCTCGCCATCAGCAGCCCGCGCACGATGAACTCCTTGGTCCTCATGGACATCCACAACCATGAGATGCAGGCGCAGGATCGTGACAGGGCCCGCGCCTTTGTCGCTATGGGGGACTTCGACAAGGCCAGCCGACCACCGAAACGCTTCTGCCAGCCCCAGGCGCAGCATTCGGTTTTTTTTTGACATCAACAACCGCCAGCAGCCGTCGTTCTGGAAGGCCCTCTTCGACTCCGTTCTCGAGGTGGAGGCAGAGCTGCCCGCGCGCTTCAACCAGGCGGACTGCGCCGCCTCCTCCATCGACCGCGTCTTCATCGGCCTCCCTTCGCACGCGACGCAGGAGCTCTCCATGGCCGTCCACATCTTGCTTGGCGCCGCCATCATGTCGGACAAGTGCCTTAGCGACCACGCCATCATCTCCTTCTCGATTGGCAGCACTCCGAGAATGCCTCCTGCGGGACAAGCGGTGCCGCCAGCTGTGTTCCGCGGCCCGAGCTACGCCACCCTTTCCCGGAAGCTCATATACGCCGCCTCTACGCAGCGCAAATCCATCGAGAACCGCCGGCGCTCGCGTGGTACGGGCATCAGCTCTGGCGACATCGCGAAACAGCTCTGGCGACGTCGCGGGGTCACCACCATGCGCGCGAGCTCGCGCGCGATCTGGCGACGAGATGTCCGACTTGCGCGGCGACTTCGCGCCGCCGCGGACCTGGGCAAGCGCTTTCCTGACATCAGCTCCACGATCATCAAGCTCACGGACGACGCCCAGTTCGCGAGCCTCGCGTCCGCCCTGCACCGCGACTTCGAGGCGCGCCAGCGCTCTCTGGTGCAGCAAGCAGCTAGGCTCCCGCCGAGCCATCCCGATGTCCTCCCTCCTGAGAAACTCTAGCAGGCCCTTCGGGTCTTCCAGAAGCGAGCCCTCCTCTTGGCCCCGTGGAAGCGTCGACTCGTCCTCCAAGTGATCAAGATCACAGGCCTCGAAGGCCCCGCTGCCGCCGCCGGGGAGAGCGAGCGGCGCAATGGTCGACGCCCTGCGCGCCCACTGGCGCCCCGTCTTCGCCCGCAAGACGGTCGACGCCAACGCCGCGCGCGCGTGCGTCGACGAGCACGTGCCGCGGGGCCGCACGCTGGACGTCAAGCCGCCCTCCACGCGCCAGCTGCAGGCCTCCCTGAAGCGCGCGTCTCCACCGGCTCCCGGGCCCGACTGCTTGCCGTGCAAGTCTGGGACAACCGCGACCATTCCCTGGACGTCCTTGAGGACCTGGCCAGCTACCGCTGCTCGGGCAACCCGATCCCGCGTGACTTGGACGACTCGGACTTCGCCTTCCTGCCGACGGGCGACAACCTCTTGGGCGAGGTCACCGCAGGCGACTTCCTGAAGACACAGGTCCACTCACTCTCGCTGAAGAACACCGACATCAAAGTCATCGCAGGAGCTGCCAACAACGCGATCAAGCAGCACGTCGCCGAGCGCACGCACACGGCACAGTAGGTCTTCGTCATGGGCGGGAACTTCATCCGGCACGTCGTGCGCCTGGACGTCGAGATGCGCCGCGTCGGCCGCTCCGAGAACGTTGATGAGCTCCACCCCAGCTTCGTCAGCTTCGACTGCGCGGCGGCCATCCCGTCGCATGGCGGCAGCGTGGATCTCTCCGCGGCCATGTGCTACGCGCCCGCCTCCTCGGTCTGGGTTGACGGCGCGCGCCGCGCCACGTTCGCGATCGAATCTGAAGTCGCCCAGGGCTGCCCAGTGAGCGGGTCTGCATGGGTGATCGCGATGGACCCGATCACCCGCCACCTCGCGCAGGCCACTGATACGGCGAATCTCGGCAACGACCCGCTTTCCAACTACCTGGGCGCTTGTGCGGACGACCTGGGCATCCTGTGCGGCCCGGCCTCGTGAGCAGAGTGACTGAGCCCTTTGACGCCGCAGCTCGCCTTGCCTTGCTGTCATGGAAGCCGCGCAAGTGTGTTGTCGTCCCTCTCTGGGCGCCTCTGCCTCCTGCCACCATTGCCCAAACCCAGGCCTTGCTTTTCGAATTTTCGCCGTTGTGGCGCGGGGTCTCGATTGCGGTGCGTGCCAAATACCTCGGGACCTTCCTCGGACCCGCGGCCTCCCTGGCCGATCAATGGCGCGCTCCTGGAAAGGAATGGCGGCAGCGCTCGGATTTGCCTCCGCTCGTGCAGTCTGGCAGCGAAGCCACAGTCCGATTATGCAACACCTTTGCGCTCTCTACTTTAAGCTATGTGGCCCAGTTCTGCCCCGCGCCTGCTTCCATTGCTTCTATCGCTCACCGCGAGAACGACGTTTT